GGTTGACAAAGTTCCTCACTGACAAAGGATATAGGAAATGAGGTTTGGATAAAACTCTTTTTGTCAAGAATGAAGGAGGAAAGATAATGGTAGCTCAAATTTATGTTGATGACATAGTGTTTGGAGGAATGTCAGATAAAATGGTTAAACATTTTGCTAACCAGATGCAAGCTGAATTTGAAATGAGCCTCATGGGAGAATTGACCTACTTTCTTGGACTACAAGTCACACAGATGGAAGACTCAATTTTTTTGTCTCAAAGAAAATATGCAAAGAATATTGTCAAGAAGTTTGGGATGGAGAATGCCAATTATAAAAGGACTCATGCACCTACTCATTTAAAGTTGTCCAAAGACTCAAGTGGGGCAAATGTGGATTAAAGCTTGTACAGAAGCATGATAGGAAGTCTGCTATACTTAACAGCCAGCAGACCTGACATTGCCTTTGCAGCTGGAGTATGTGCAAGATACCAGGCTGAACCCAAAGTAAGTCACATTAACCAGGTGAAAAGAATTCTGAAGTATGTGAGTGGAACTTACAATTATGGCATGCTGTACTCTCATGGATGTGAACCAATTCTGTCTGGTTATTGTGATACTGATTGGGCTGGTAGTGTTGATGATAGAAAGATCACCTATGGAGGATGCTTCTTTTTGGGAAATAATCTTGTCTCTTGGTTCAGCAAGAAACAAAACGGTGTGTATCTATCTACTGCTGAAGCTGAATACATAGCAACTAGTAGCAGCTGTTCTCAAATGATCTGGATGAAACAGATGCTGACTGAGTATAATGTCACACAAGATGTCATGACATTATACTGTGATAATTTGAGTACTATTAATATATCCAAGAGTCCTATACAGCACAGTAGGACTAAGCATATTGACATTAGACATCACTTCATCAGAGATCTTGTGGAGGAAAAGGTGATTAAGCTGGAACATGTTGCCATTGAACTACAACTGGCTGACATTTTTACCAAGGCACTTGATGCTAGTCAGTTTGAGAATTTAAGGGGAAAGCTGCGTATTTGCCAATATGAAGAGATGTAGCAATTAATTTTGCTTAATACAAGGGATGAAAGAGATATTTTAATCAAGTCTATTCTGATTGAGCTAATAATTTGTTTCCCTCTTTCTTTCCAAAAGTTTAAGAAGAGGAATAGACATACTTATATCTCCCTCTTCTCATTTTTCTGCAACATTCTCCATTCCCTCAAAAGAAGATTTCACATACGCTGTCACTTGTTTTCTCAATCTCTCAAGATGTCTCAACAATCTGTGTCATCATCTTCATCAAAGGCAATTGCATCTTCCTCACCCACTGACACCGAACCTAGGGCAATCGTAAATTGCATGGATGCTGATGTTCTTGAGATAACTCCACTTCGTGAAATGGCAGCTGATCCTACTAAGGTCAAGAAGCTGCGAACCAGACATGCAAGAAGATCACAAGCTTCTCCATCTGGTAAATCTTCTCAACCATCATCTTCTGTTCCTCCAGAGATAGATAATAGGGAAGGTTCTGCTTATGTGCATCAAGCTATTGTCAGACTAGTCACTAGGATTCTTAATGAGAATCACTCTGTTCCTGGCATATCTGTACCATTGAACCAAGAAACTGCTAGCCCTAATGTAGAAAGGGATCCCAATGTCACTCAGAATGTTGAGACACCTGATGACAACATTGAGAAATCTCCAGAAAAACCTGATGATCACCAGACCCCTACTGACAAGGTTGTTGAACCTCCTATCATTGATGTTGATGAAGAATTCTCTGACAATGATTTAGTTTCCAATATCAACCCTAGCATAGCTAGAAGGATGATAAGTAGAAAAGAGAAGCAGAATGCTGCCCAAAGCCCCTCCAAAGAGAAGGCTACTGAAGTTGTTCATGAGAAAGCGAGGCCTGAGAACAAGGCTGAGAAGGATCAAAAAGCTGGAACTTCGAAAGGGAAGGGTAAGGTAAAAGCTAGGGTATCTGTTGGTAGTCTTTCAAAACCCTTGAGACAACCTATAGCCAAGAAAAGAAAGGCTCCTGAACCCTCTGAATCTGATTAGGAATCAGACTTTGATTTTGATGTTGAGAGCAATGTTCTAGACATTCCTCTCAGGAAGAAACCCTCTTCTAGAAAACTGCCTAAGGTTCCTGAAGTTGCCATTGACAACATCTCCTTTCACCATCCAGAAAATGCAAGCAGGTGAAAGTATGTGTTTCTGAAAAGGATTGCCTTGGAGAGGGAGCTGAACAGAAGTGCTATTGAGTGTAAGGAAGTCATGGATCTAATCAAGGCTGCTGGCCTGATGAAAACAGTGGTCAAGTTTTCCAACAGCTATGAGATTCTTGTCAAAGAATTCATAGTAAATTTGTCTGGTGGTTGTGCTGATGGAAAGTCAGCTGATTTTAAGAGTGTTTATGTGAGAGGAAGGAAGGTAAATTTCTCTCCTACTGTGATAAAAAAATACCTAGGAAGGCCTGATGATGCTCAACCTGGGCTTGAAGTTACTGACAACCAGGTTTGTCAAACCATCACTGCCAAGCAAGTCAAGCACTGGACCTTGAAAGGGAAGCTAACTGCAAGCAAGCTGAGTATGAAGTTTTCCATACTGCACAAAATTGGTGCAGCTAACTGGGTTCCCACCAACCACAAATCCACCATTTCCACAGGTTTGGGAAGATTTATCTATGCTGTTGGAACTAGAACAAACTTTGATTATGGCAACTACATCTTTGATCAAACATTGAAACATGCTGAGAGTTGTGCTATTAAAGGCCCTATTGCTTTTCCCTCTCTCCTGTGTGGTATAATCATTGATCAATATCCCGATATCCTGGTTGAAAAAGACTCTGTGTTCAAAAGAGCCCCATGCACTTGGTTTTCACTATAAGCTGTTTCAGGGAACACATGTCCCTGACATTGTTATGACATCTGCTGAGACATCAAAAGTCAAAGCTCATTCCAAGAAAGCTGATGTTATCGTTGTTCTAAAAGAAACCTGCAGAGAGCTTGATGCAAGAAAAAGGACTCTTGAAGAGCTGATTGCTAGTCTGGAACAGGAGGAGAATGAAGAACAAATGAGGGAAGAGGATGCTGATGAAGAACAACATGATGGTTCTGTAAGAAGCTGACCAGAAAATACGGCTGAAAATAATGCTTCCTCAAGAGATGACAGTACCTGAAGGTCTGTGTTTGCTGAGTTGAAAAGATTGATGTTGGAACCTGTTGCTGCTATTTGATATCTTCTTTTTTTTTGGGTTTTTTGAATTTCCTTTTGGATGACTGTATAACTTAAAGTACTAGCTCCTTTGGCCTCTTTATGGCTAAAAAGGGGGAGAAGAAATTATGGTAATTTTGGTATAATTAGATATTGGTAGCTGTTATTAAAATTTTTTGTTGCTTTCTAATCTCTGATTGTTTAGGGATTTTAGCCAAAAATTTGCCAAAGGGGGAGTTTGTAAGTGTTTGTTTGTTGGCATTATTTTTTGGTAAAAACAGATTTGCGAATGTCATGACTGATGTCATAACATTCTGGGATAAAGGTAAATTCTGCAGAAGGAATGTTCTACAGGAACTACTCAGTATGAGTAAATATCATGATGATTAAGCTATGATCATATGTACTGAATTCTATCAAAATCAGTGAGCAATATACATGATGTCATAACCAATGTTAAGACATCCTGTACTGATCAAGTTGTTGTGCAGATTTATTATTCCTGAGAATTTTCAGGAATCTGGTGTGCTACTCTGAGTTGAAGTATATTGTCCAGATCAAATGCTCACGTGGACATTAGGTTAACCTTGCTTAACCCTAATATGTTATGATGAAAGCCCAAGACCAAGTCTTTAGGTTAACTTTGGTTAACCCTAGCTATTTTTATGGAAGTCCTAAATGAAGAATAGTCTGCTTATATATTTCTCATGAAGCCTAATGGTGAGCAGCGCTTTTGACAGAAGATCAATAAGGCATTGTATAGTTGTAACTACCGTGAGCTAAGCAATTATCAGTTTGATAAGTGACTTGAATTAAGATTTGGTTGTCAGGGTTGTTTATCACTCAAAGCTTTGAAGCACGAGGGTTGTGTCTCTTGATTAAAGCTTTGAAGCAAAATCAAGCGTGTGTATTGAAGAATGTCTTCATAATCTTATTAATCAGTAGATTATTATCACTGTTGTGATTGAGGGGGAGTGAGTAGGAACTCAGATTTAAGTAGGACTTAGATTGAAGTTGCATTGGGTAGGTCTTAAGTGAAGAAGATAAACTGGTTGGTTTATTCCTAAATTAATTCCTCTTATAGTAAATTTCCTCCCTGGCTTGGTAGCCCCCAGAGTAGTTGTTGTTTTACACTGAACTGGGTTAACAATTGATTGTGTTCTTTACTGTCTTTTAAATTACTGTTTGGTGTGTGTACAATTTGTCAGATACGGTGTCATAACATTCACTGTGACATTAAGTATCTGTTGTCAAAATTTCAGAGAGAAGTAGGGAAGCTGAAAAGTTTGTACATTCTCTTCCTCTTTCTTTTTAGGGGTTATAGGGCTACGCTCTTTCAAAGAGGGAAAATGGGACAGACGATTCTTATTCCTGTACAGTTTCGTGTTCACGTCCAATCTTCTCTATCCATTAGTGCAACTTCCAGCTCTATAATATGTATGGTAGTCGTTTGACTCGGAAATTCCTTCGTCCAACTAGCTCGTCCGTGCCTGGCGGGTTCGTTTGTAAGTAGCAAAAATGGTATGATTATGAAGAGATAAAATAATCCTTTTTGCTTTGTAAATTGTTGGAATAGAAATGACATTTGATAGAATTATAGCATTTTTTTTAGTAGTTTGATATTCGGTGATATAATAAATAAATAAAATAAATAAATAAATAAATAAATAAAGAATAAACCTTTACCCGAATATAGCTTTAAGTTCACCAAACATCACTTTGCATTCCGACCCAAATCCCTCACCTGTGTTGCAGCCGCCTGCCTAACAACTCTTTCTTGCATCAATGGCGGAAACTGCCGACAAACCTCAAACTCTCGCAGAGGTACAATCTCTCTTCCTTTTTTACTTCTCAATTTTCAATTCCGCTTCCAAATCTCAATAGATCTTCGTTTTAATTCGAATCGCTTTTAGTTTCGGAATCGATTTTTTTAAAAGCTGATTTAGTTAATTTTACAATTCAGAGTGATTTCTGATAGATCTTGATTTTCGCAATTTGATTTTACATTTCTGTCATGTAAAATTCGTTTAACTTAGTCTAAGAAAATTTGTAATCTTCAATACATAATACCGATGATTCTAACTCCAGATCTATATCATGGACGAACGCAAAATATTAACGTCTTTTGTATAATTAATCTCATCTACCGATTGAAGGTGTGTTTGTGTCTATGAAGCATGGACACTGGAAACACATGACACTATCACGATGACACCGGTAATAATTTGAAACAATTGAGTAAATTAAAGGTAATTACAATTGTTCTGAACACTCACACAGATACACTTTTTTCAGAGATGTCAATGCTAAAGTGGTTTGTGTTATTGCCGGGGACATAGACACACATAGTTACATTTAATCACTTATAATTTTGTAATTATTATCGGTTTTCATGGTTTAGTGTTGCGTCTGTCTCGTGTTCGTGGGGAAGTGTTTCATATAATCATATTCTATTGTGCTTCAGTTTGCCATTTGTATGAGCTAGATAATGAGAATATGAAAATTATTGAAGAATTGCATACTAAGATAATACTGCACCAGAAAGTTTGCAAGTCTTGCTTATGTGTACTCCCTCAAGTCAATATTATTAGCAAAAGTTTATTTTTTAAATTTATTGAATAATTGAGGCATCTGATTTATATATAAGGTATCTGCATTAGTTATTCAATGTATCTAGAAAGTGAATTTTTATTTATAATAGTGACCGGAGGGAGCAGTTCTCTAGTCTATAACTATTTAACTATGTAGAGAAGTTGCCTGTCATTATACACACACCAGATGTTATATTGTTTTTTTATATGAAGAATTGGTATGATATGTTACTAGTTTGTGTTTTTTGTTAGGTAGTGATGGTATTTTCCTTCAATTTCCTCAGCTCTATATATCTCATATATGTATAGTTCTCTACTCAGTTCTATACATCAGTTATTCAATCAACTTGAAAAGTGAATTTTTACTTATAATCGTGACCAGATGGAGTAGTTCTCTACTCTATAACTTTTTACATGTAGAGAAGTTGCTTGTCATCATACATTTTGGATTTTATATTATTTATTTATACGAAGAATTGGGATGATATGTTGCTAGTTTGTGTTTTTTTGTTAGGTAGTGATGGTATTGTTTTCCTTCAATTTCGTCAGCTCAATAAATGTTTTCTAATGTCATGTAAGATTTGAGGTGAAGTTAGTTACAGAAATGTTTTTGTCTTGCAGCAATACTATGTGAAGGACAAACAAGACAAAGTAGAGGTAGTTGAAAAACCTGTTGCTGTCGAGGAAGTTGAAAAGCCAAAGGAGGCTACTTCCGAGGAAGCTGTTGTTGAGAAAGCTGAAGAAAACACTCTAGAGCCAAGCAGTGAAACTGTTGTCGGAGAAAACACTCTAGAGCCAAGCAGTGAAACTGTTGTCGATCAAAGCACTCTAGAGCCAAGCAGTGAAACTGTTGTCGAACAAAGCAATCTAGAGCCAAGCAGTGAAACTGTTGTCGAACAAAGTTCTGGTGATCAAGAGGAAGTTGAAGAGAAACCTGAAATTAAGGTGTCATTTATTTACCTGGATCATCAATCTGGAACCGTTGCTTGATTTCATCATAAGTGAAGATGTCCCTCCTTTCAATATTTTGATATTTGTGCCTTTATTTTCCAGCTAGAGACTGCTCCAGTAGATTTCCGTTTTCCAACTACTAATCAAACAAGGCATTGCTTTACTCGATACATTGAATATCATCGGTGAGTCATATTCTGTTGGCCTTTATTTTTATGGAGCTTCTTGTTCGCATACACTGTAAAGTTGTACAGTTCTTTTATTTTAACTCTCGAAATTCATGTGCAGATGTGTAGCTGCAAAGGGAGATGATGCACCAGAATGTGATAAGTTTGCCAAGTATTATCGTGCTCTTTGCCCTGGCGAATGGGTATGTATTTTTAATCATCAATATTCTATATTATTGGCTAGGCACTAGGACCTGCCTGTCCAACAAAATTTACTTACAGATATATTGTCTTGCCAATGCCAAATCTCTATGTGTTGATGGCCTATCTGATTGTCTTGTTTGCTACAACTTACTTAGCTTTCTTTGGTTTTTGTTCCACTTCACATGATATCTGATTTTATGCTAAATCAGAAAAATATTCTGGGAAAATTGCCAATATAATAAAAATTATAGTTATTAAATATGTTAGGCTTTGTGAGGAGTTCAAGGAAAACATTGATTGTCCCTTTAAGGCTCATTCGTAAAATATAGAAGGATGTTTGGAATGGCTTCTGCCCACTTCAAAGGTATAATGGAAGAAATCCACGCAGAACAGAAGTTGCATGACATAGAATCTTTATCCTAGTTGATTGTCTTGACATTGCTGCATGAAGAAAAGAACCCTGCTCCACAGAGATGTGAACTGGTTTTGGAAAAAAGTGTGAAAGGAAATGGGAATCACGTTTGTGGAGTCAAGCCACAGTAAGCGGCTGCTCCTCGGATTTAGCGAGCAGCTGAGATTCACTATTGATGGAGTTGATGCAGAGAAGAAATCACGTGAGTTAGGAGATTGGCATAGACTGAATTGCATGAGAAGTTCAGGGAGAAGTGGGGCTTACCAAAAAGTTCTGGTATAAGGTTAGGATGAGTATTAGGATGTGGGGCTAATGTTGAAATTCGGGACAAGACCTGTTAGATATCCTTTTAAAGTAAGGAGGGACTAACTTACCCAACCCTTGAAGACACGGCGACATAATGGAGAAATGAGGGTGTTGGTGCCTGTGAATTGTGAAGCAACTAGTCATTGAAAGAGTTGAAATTTAAAGTAGAAAATACCTGTTAGTATTTTTAAGAGGTGGGGTTGGGCTAAGGTAGGGAATAGGGTATTTGCAAGACTTAGCATGAAGATACAAGGAGGGGGATTCTAGCATAATTTATTTTTCATGGAGCAAGGACGGAGGGACTTCAGTAGTTTTATGATTGTATATCAAATATGGGAAACAGGTACAATGGCTTCAGAAATTTGTTCATTAAGTTGGGAGATAAAGGGGTAGGAAGGTGATTGGAGAACAATAATTTGGGCACGGGATTGACAAGGCCCAACTAGAAGTTCGGCATATTAGAAGTTATGCAGCAATTGAGTTATGTCTTGAGAGTCCAGAGTCTCTAAATAGGTGTAACTTGTAAGCATTCAACCCTTCCATGCTCAAAAATGGGTTTAATTGGGTAAGTTTGTTTATTCAATAAAGAAAAATTATTTTTCCATTCTTTCATGGTACCGGTGTAAGAGAAGGTGTTGTTAAGAGGGGCTTTTCCCTTTGCAAGGTACAAGCTTCTTAGAAATCCATGGTCAATGCATTGCTAGAAATGAGGGAGAAGGATATTGTGTAGCTTATCAAACATAGAGCCAAAGAATAGAATAAAAAAACATAGAGCCAAAGAATAGAATAAAAAAACATAGAGCAGAAGGAGAGGGACATGAGCAGTTTTCACTTTTCAACAATTATAGAAAACATACTAGCTGAATTTGATGATGTTTCTCAAGAACAAAAGGGCTTGCCACCCAAAGCGATTAGGACCATGCAGGTATCCATTCTGCAAAAAAGTAGATGAAAATATTGTGTAGGAAAAGATGCAAGCATATTAGTTAAGAAAAGATGTTGGGTGGAAGGTTTCGTGCAGACTATTCCGAATAAATTCCCAATGATTATTTCATCCAAATCAGATCTCAAATCCAGGTGCTATCAGATTCCCTTGGAGAGAAAATGGCAGTCTTTAGGACTTGACGGAAACTGAGTTTTTAGTTGTGCCCTTTAGTTTTACTAAGCATTGAGTTCGAGTACACGACCAAATTATGAGATGTGTGATGTGCCGTTCCTGATCAGATTTAGGAGTGAAGGTTACATAACTTACTCTGCCTAATTAGCAGTAATATTGGTGTGTGAATCACCATTAAATTACAATATTCAGTGCTCTGTTTGACCCTTTCTGGCAATTGTCAACGTTGAGTATTCCTTCTCAGTTAAATCACGCTTCAGTTACTTAAAAAAAAATGCCACTTTCGTCTTTTTGAAGTTAGATCTTTGTTCACCAAACCCACAGTCTTATCCCACAAAATGTCTTATGCCACTTTCTTCTTTTTGAAGTTAGATCAAGTTTGAATCTTTTTTTTCCTCAATAGCTTAATAGTTCATTTCACAAATATCTTTCTGCTGTTTTTGTTCCGTTCTTAGCAATTTTAACATAGCTTTCTTGTCCAATCTAACATTCATTTTTCATTAATTTGTTGATACATCAGGTTGACAGATGGAATGAGCAACGCGAGAATGGAACATTCCCAGGCCCACTGTAGTGTGGCATATGTCTGAGATAAATGCACAATTGACTTGCAGTATTACATTTAAAATTGCAAGAGACAAACTTCCAAACACTTCAGGGAATGTTCAATGTTACGCATTGAGTTAATAAGAAATTTTGCTTTTCCATTTTTAAACCAGCTTTAGTTGTAAAATTGCAGGAAATGCTTCTGGCTAAATGTCCAGATATCTGTCTTGTTCATTACTGGATTCGTAACTGAGGGATTGATGTCTGAGGTTTTTATTCCCAAAATAATAATTTTTTTTTAAGATCAATGTTTTATCACCCAAAATAATATTGTCTTGACTCAATTATTTGCTGGTACTAGCAGGGGTGTGCATGTTTGGATATTTTTAGAAGCCAAACCATTTAAATGGTTAAAATTTATAATCTAATTATATTTTAATCAAAATTGGTTAATTTAACAAAATCATACCAATTATTTATAAAGGGAAAATCAATTATTTTTTGGTTAAAAATCTGATTATTTTTTAAAACTGGTTATTATTATTTTAAAAACTGATTTTTAAAGTAATTTTTTTTTATAAAAAAAAACTGCTTTTAAATGATCATTTGCTCCCATATTCTCCTTACAGGTAATAAAACATGTATAAGTTTAAATATGAAGAGCAAATATCTTTTAAGAAAAAGTCTAGACCTTTCTCAAAATAAAAAATTGAAGTGAAAAATCGTATAAAATAGAGATGTATGTTGGATTTTAATTTCAAACGTGTCTTTTATCTCAAAAATATAATTTTGGTTTAATATTTTTTTTTTTTTTGTGTCTTAACTGTACTACCAGGTCTATTTTGATGATCTTTCTTTTTAAATGACTAATTTAATCTTTTATGTTATCAAAAGTGTACCATGTTTATCCTTTCTATTAGAAACGTTAAATTTGACTCATAAAGTTTGTAAGTTATTGTTGTGGCATGATGGTATAAAGATACAATGGAGATTACATGTTTATCTTTCACATTTTTCATTCTCAGAAAAATTGGAAGAGGAATCCTAGAGTAGAGCGAAGAGGAACAGGGACCAAAGAAGCCATTGAAGACGACGAAGGCGTTGAAGGTCTCAATCGAGATTAGTTCTAGCAATGTCTTAGTCAGAATTTAGTTTTCGTACTATCACTATGTGTGCTCTTATTTGAGTTTAGTTTTTGTTATTTGGATTTAGAAATCTAGGGTTTAGCCCCTTTTGTAATATGTTCTAAAATTTTGTGTGTTCTTGTGTTGTGTAGATATGGATGAATATTTGTGTTTGAAAATTCATCATAGTTGTGAATTTGTGGACTCTGAAAAAATTGTGTATGTAGGGGAGAAATACAATGATTTAAAGGTAGATATAGATAAGTAAAATCACTTTAAATTGGTTGGAATATTGAAAGATTTAAGTTGTACTGAGATAGACACCATCTATTACAATGATCCACTTTTGGGATGAATGTTATGAATGTTGATAAGGGTGCGTTAGAGTTTGGTGACCTCTATAAAGTACACTTGACAATTGATATTTACATAGAACATCCCCCGTCTCAACCAAAATATGTTGATAGTCTTATAGAAAAATCTATAAATATTGATGAAGAACCTATAAGTGTGTGAATCCCTGAGATATAAGCCATAGTTTCAGAGCTTTAAGAAAAAGTCACTAAGGATGTAAATGCAGAACTTGAGGGTGTGAATGTAGGTCTTAAGGGTGTGAACAAAGATGATGCTGAGGGTGTGAATATAGGTGTTGAGGGTGTGAACAAAGATGGTGTTAAGGGTGTGAATATAGGTGTTAAGGGTGTGAATATAGGTCCTGAGAGTGTGAACAATGATGGTGTTGAGGGTGTGAACAATGATGTTGCTAAGGGTGTGAATATAGGTCCTGCAGGTGTGAACAATGATGGTGTTGAAGATATGAACAATGATGGTGTTAAGGGTTTGAACAATGATGATGAGGTGTATGATGGTATAGATTCTAATGCTGGATTGGTGAGGATGACAGTGAGTATGAGACTTATAATTATGATAGTGTATTGGAGGTTGCATTTATTGATTCTGACATGAGTGAGGATTATGCTGAAGAAGATTTAGACAACCTACTTGAATATGATGGAAACCATGAAGGAAATAGTAAGAAGAAGAAAAAGAAATGGGAAGCAGACAATGGTGAGGAGAATGAAAGTGCATATGATAGTGAGGTGTTAGAAAGTGGTTGTGATAGTGAGGAGAGTGATGCATCAAAGAAGAAGTATCTCATGTTCAAATTAATGAAAGACATGTCTAATTATAAATGGGAGGTGGAAACTTACTTTAGTTCAAAGAGTGACTTTAAGGAAGCAATTTAAACCTATGCTGTCCAATCTGGGAGAACTCTTAACTTCCTAAAAATGACAAACAAAGAGTGAGAGTGGGATGTAAGAAAGGCTGTCAGTGGTTTACATATTATGGAAAGTTACCTAATGAAGAGACATTGCAACTTAGGAAAATGGCCGATAGTCACAATTGCTCTAGAAAATACAATGTGAAGATGATGGGTATCAAATGGCTTAGTAAGAGGATTCAACATTCACTGAAAAATAATCATAAGATGAAGATAAATGATATAAAGGAAAAGGCTCTAAAGAAATGGAATGTAGGAGTTAACAAGACAAATATAATTATGACTTCAACCTGTAAGAGGACACCATCTACACAATCAACTTAGCCACAAATTCAAACTACTCAAGCACCATCAACTCAGTCATCTCAACAAGGAGGAAGGCAAAAGAAATTACCTGTCAAGAAATCAGTTCAGTCATCTGCTACAAGGGGTCCAACTGGTCCAATTACAAGGCTAAGTGCATCACAAAATGCAATTGGACCTACCACTAAGAGGACCACAACAACAAAAATAAATAACCCCAAAAATTTTATTTAGTCATGTCCGTGTTGTGTTGTAATTATGAATTTCTGTTTTGAGAACATGTTTTATAATATGTTTGTTTTGGGACAAAGTTTATGACATGTCTATTTTTGAGACAATGTTATTTTGAGACAAGTTTATGGTTTAGGTCATGTGTGTAACATATGAAGTCATGTCTGTTTTGAAAAATGTTATTTTGAACAAGATTTAATAAAATCTTATGTCTATTTGAAAAGGTTTTGAGCAACGTTGTTTTGAAAAATGTTATATCTCATTGAGCAATCCATAAAAGATTCATGTAAAACATTGACTGTGAAATAACATTGAAGTTTGAAGTGTTGCAACCAAATAATGCCAAAATCAACTTCTACATAATATATTCATGTAAAATTTATGACACTGCGTGTCTTAACTAGTACAAAAAGTTCATGACATAAATTAAACTTCTACATAACACATTCATAGAACATAAACTTAAAAGGTACATAGTGAGTATTAAATCTTGAATACTAAAAAAAAGAACACAACATAGAACATAAATTTCTAAAAAAAATTTCACTTGATGGTGTTCTTCAAAGCAACTTCTAACTCTATGTTATTGAGCCTGAGTTGTTCAACCTCATTTTTGGCTTCCTTCCATCTCTTGGGTTAGCACATCAATCTTAGCTTCTTGCTTCACCATGATTTGCTTCTTTTCATCTCTAACTTCTTTGAAGAACCATTCAAAGAATCCACAACCAACATTACTATATCCTTGTAAAGATTTATAAAGAAAATTACAACTTAATAAATATACATTTCAACCTAGAATATTCAGACTAAAGCTTACCTTAAAATATTGACAACCCCAAAAAATATTTTTCATAATTGTTGAGAGTTATTTCCCTTCAAAGTACAACAATGTCTCCATAACGACAAAAAAGTTTCTATGGAAGATTCAAGCCGCTACATACCTGCGAATCACTTCTGTTTTTTGATGATGATGATGAACCGCGGATAGCACTCATGATTCATTCACTACTGTAGACGAATTAGGTTTCAATTTAGGAAATTCTTACCCTATTCGCATTAGGTTTAGATTTGGGGGTAAATATGTATCAACCTGTTTATCAACAAAAAAGGTGATGAATAAGACACTCTATTTCAGCAGCCACATCATTACTCTCTCACATCGTTTGCCATTATTTGACAGAAAGGGTTTGTTTACTTTAGTTTGACAATATAAGGGTTCAAATTGGACGTTTTAAAAGAAAGAGGACCAAAATGGACCCAGAGGTATAGGTAAGGGATTGAGAAGGGTATTAAGCCTATAATTTTTTCTTCCTACTCTTGGGAAAATAAAAATGATATAAACATGGCTTAAATTGTTTAATCGATATTGTTTATTCTAAGGGAGTTTCTTTCTCCACCTGGGTATGCTGAGTTGTACCTCAAAACTCGAAAATACCCTTCGGATGGGTATATCCGAACACATCTTTCAGTATGTTTCAGATATGCACATGCGAAGACACCCATTTTCTATGTTTTAATACTTAAACGTTGGATTTAAAACTCTTAAGGTAGTTTCACATATGCATATTCGAAACTACCCTTTCCATATTAGATTGCTGCATGGTCACCCCTTCCAACTATTTCATTCATTTTCTTTTCCCCCATAACCAAAACCCTCAACAAAATTTCAACCATTCTCAATCAATTATTCGTCTCCAAACCAAGTTTCAAGTGTTTGAGCATGACAAAGATAACATAGAAAGCTGCAATTTGAGGTAAATTTTACTCATTTCATCTTACATTCCTTGCATTGATACTGATTTGTGGATGAAAAAAACAGCGTCACTTCGGATATGCATATTCGAATCCACCTACCATAGTTCAGATGTGCATATCCGAAAACATGTCTGTTACAAAAATAGAAAATTGTTTTAACGCATCCAAAAGTAGATGCAGACTCTGATTTAGACATAGAAGAGGTATTTTTTTTTATCTCTCTCACTCTGGATTAACTTGTTCTCTTCTTGAAATTTTGGAAAAACATGAGTTGCTTAAGAATGAATTCAAGGAACTTAAAAAGGTCCATGAATTTGTTTCTAAGGAACACACCAAGCTTAAGGGAGAATTTTCATATCTAAGAGAAGAAAATTATATTCTTAAGATTGATTAGTTTGTTCTCAAAAGAAATAGTTCCAGTTTTGAGAAGGAAATTCTTTCAGAAGCTTCTAAAATCACTAATGTTGTCATAAACAAATATGACAAATCATTCAAAAAAATTCTTGTTAGAAGCATAGGTAGAAGCGTCATGACTTCAATGATCTATGGCGTAAGCATAAACTGCACTAAAGGTTTTGGTTATAATTCTTATAAAGAATCTGATTCTGAAAAAGAAGAAAACCCAAATACGTTTCATTCTTATTTTGTCTCTGCTGGTTCTAAGCATAAGGTAAAAGAAAAGGATAAAACTCCTTCTGATCTTAAGGCTAAGTCTAAAGCAAAGTCGTGTTTTAAAAATGCAATTAAGTATGTTTATCATGCTCCTAAGCCCAAAGTTGTAAACAACTCTTAGAAGACTAACAAGAAAGGACCCAAGAAGCTATAGGTGCCTAAGAAGTTGATAATCTATATTGTAGATATCCTTAGCAGCGATGTCAAGACACCAATCATGGTACTTTGACTCTGGCTACTCCCGACACATGACGAGAAGAAGACATATGTTTCAAAGCCTGTAACTTAAACATGGAGGCTTCATAGGTTTCAGAGGTGATCAGAAAGGAAAGGTCACAGGCTCCAGAACAATTGGTAAAAAATTTCTCCCTTCTATTAATAATGTTTCACTTGTTGACGGTTTGATGCATAACTTATTGTCCATAAGTAAATTAACTGACAATGGTTATGATATAATCTTTAATCAAAACTCTTATAAGGAAGTTAGTCAGAAGGATGGCTCAATTCTCTTTAATGGCAAGAGGAAGAACAACATCTATAAGATTAAACTTTCTGATCTTAAAGAGCAAAATGTAAAATGTCTTCTGTCTTATAATGAAGATCAATGGATATGGCATAGACGATTGGAGCATGTTAGCATGAGAAGACTTTCTCAGCTAAATAAGCTTGACCTTGTCAGAGGCCTTCCAAAGCTAAAGTTCTCTTCAAAAGCTCTTTGTGAAGCATGTCAGAAGGGCAAGTTTTCAAAAAGTTCTTATAAAGTAAAAAATGTTGTTTTAACCTCTAGGCCATTGGAGCTTCTGCATTGATTTGTTTGGATCAGTGAAAACTACTTCTGTCAATGGTAAGAAGTATTGACTAGTCATAGTTGATGACTATAGTCGTTGTACATGGGTTCAGTTTCTTAAATAGAAGGATGAGTCACATTCTGTGTTTACTACCTTCTGCTCTCAAGTGCAAAATGAGATGAATCTTAGAATTGCCAAAGTCAGAAGTGATCATGGTGGTGAATTTGAAAATAAATACTTTGAAAAGTCTTTTTGATGAAAAATGGTATTTCCCATGATTTCTCCTGTCCTAGAACTCCACTACAAAATAGAGTTGTAGAGAGGAAGAATAGGAATTTGCAAGAAATGTCCAGAATCATGACCAATAAGACTAACATGGCAAAATATTTTTGGGCAGAGGATGTCAACACAACATGTTACATTCAGAATAGAGTCTCTATAAGAACTATTCTGGATAAGACTCCTTATGAATTGTGGAAGAACAGAAAACCCAACATTTCATACTTTCCTTCTTTTGGATGTGATTGTTTTATGTTCAACACTAAGGAGAATCTTAGCAAGTTTGATTTTAAAGAACAAAAGTGTATCATGTTAGGATACTCTAAACACTCAAAAGACTATAGAGTGTATAACACTCAAACTCTTATTGTTGAGGAATCTATTCATGTTAGATTCGATGATAAGCTTGAACCTAAAAAGTCAAAGCTAGTTGAGAAGTTTGCAGATCTGGAGATCACATTTTCCAACTCTGAAGGTGATGATATGATTGTCAAGGATCCTAAGAAGAAAGACTTGGAAGGAGCTCAACCAAAAGTTGTTGAAGCTCAGACCCCTCTGAAGAAGCAGAATCCAGATCCTCACACTCTAAGGAATTGATTCTGGGTGATAGATCTGAACCTGCCAGAACTAGATCCTTTTTCAAACATTCAAAAGAGATGCTTCTGGGTTTGATGTCCCTTATATAGCCTACATATGTTGATGAAGAGCTTCTGGACACAAAATGAATTTTGGCTATGCAGAGAAGAGCTGAATCAATTCTTCATCAATGGTGTGTGGGATCTTGTTGCAAGACCCAAAGAAACTCATGTGATTGGAATCAAATGGGTCTTCAGAAACAAGCTCAATGAAAATGGAGATGTGGTAAGAAACAAGGATATATTGGTTTCATAAGGATATAGTCAGCAAGAAGAGATTGACTATACAAAAACCCTTGCACTAGTTGCCAGGTTACAATATATTCATCTCTTAATTTCATTTGTTGTTAATCATAAAAATCATCTTGTATCAGATGGGTGTTAAGAGTGAATTTTTGAATGATTACATAATCGAGGAAGTGTATGTACACCAACAAATTGGTTTTGAAAATCATAAAATCGATATTTTGTTTCCAAACTTAAGAAATCATTGTATGGTCTGAAACAAGCTCCCAGAGCTTCGTATGAAAGATTGAGCAATTTTCTTTTAGAAAATGATTTCACCAGAGGAAAGGTTGATACCACCTTGTTCTGTAAATCCTTCAAAAATGACATTCTAGTAGTTCAAATATATGTTGATGATATTATATTTGGTTATGCTAATGCCACTTTGTACAAGGAATTTTATAAGTCTACGCAGAATGAGTTTGAGATGAGCTTAATGTGAGAACTCAAGTTCTTTATGGGAATCCAAATCAATTAAGGCCCGGAAGAGACGTTCATCCATCAGAGCAAGTACACCAAAGAACTTCTAAATAAGTTTGACTTGTCTGAGTGTTAGATAGAAAAGACACCTATGTATCCTACTTGGGTTCTAGATAAGGACGAGGTAAGTGGTAAGGTAGATCAGAAGCTGTAAAGAGGTATGCTAGGTTCTCTATGATATTTTATTCAGTATTTTCTTGTGTGCTCTCTTCTAATCATATCCTAGGGAATCACACTTAATTGTTGTTAAGAGGATTTTTAGGTATCTGAAAGGTACTATTAACCTTGGTTTGTGTTATAGAAAATCAAGTGAATATAAGTTGGTAGGATATTGTAATGCTGGAGACAAACTAGAGAGAAAAAACACTTTTAGAAGCTATCAGTTTTTGGGAGACAACTTGATCTCACGGTCGATCAAAAGGCAATCAACAATAGTTCTCTTAACCGTAGAAGTCAAACACATTTTCGCTTCTGGATGCAGCACCCAAATTCTCTGGATAAAAATTCAACTAGAAGATTATCAAATATTTAAGAGTAATATTCATATCTTTTATGATAATACTTCTGCAATTTATTTGTCTAAGAATCCAACTTTGCATTCTAAGGCTAAACATATTGAGATTAAGCATCATTTCATTAAAGACTATGTTCAGAAGGAAATTTTATCTTTAAAATTCATAGATACAAACCATCAATGAGCTAATATCTTTATGAAATCCCTTGCTAAAGATAGACTGCTTTTCATTCTGAAACATTTAAAAATGGTTTGTGCCCAGAATTAAAAAGATGCAATCTCAGAGTGTTGGCTTTCTAGAATGGAAAATTATACTCTAGGATTTAATTATTGTTTTTGTTGCTTCTGGAATGTGAGGCTTCTAATGAGTGAAGTTATTGTGTATCAGAAGTATCCAAGGTCACAATCTTCTCTCTAGAATTCTTTTTTCTGTTGGTAATTAAAGAGTTTACTTCATTAATGAGGTTTCAGGATAATTAAAGGGTTGTGATTCAAATTAAGACATTTGTCTTTTTAGAAGCACACCTAGAACTTGATGTGACTCATTAGGAAACAAGATTATATTGAGGTTAGGTGAAAAATCTTCACGCTTTACCCATTGCCAGGATTTTTATTATTTTCAATATATTTTAATCATTATGAAAACTATTTTAAAAATCTACTCACACCACTTCACACACTTTCGCTACCATTATCCCACACTTTCCCTTTTTAAGCAAAAAACTTCTCTAAAATCCTAAAACCCTCTCGGTTCTTGTTTGTGGTTTCTTCAATGGCTTCTCAACAACAATCAACCGCTCAATAAACTTCTTAACAAAATGTTCAAGATTCTTCGTCTCTTCAACAACAACATCAAGTTCAAGATCATGATGTTCACTTCCCCATTCCTGTTTCTCAACTATCTATTCCTGCCGAGCTGATAGTGGATTTTGAGAATCTTGTTGCGAATGGGTTTGATCTTACAGAAGTTGTGAAGACGCAAGGTTGGGAAACTTACTTTGATCGCCTGAAGGGGCCAGTTTATCCTAAAGTGGTTAAGGATTTTTGGGTTCATGCTTTTGTGACAGATGGCAGTCCATTTGCTCAAGTTTTATGGAACAATGGATTTGCATTCTTGAAGATGATATTGCTAAACTTATTCAACATGATGGTTCTGGTTATAGATGTTATGCATCTATATTTGCAGTGGAAAAGAGTCATGGTCGGGCTTATGAAGATATCATTGCAAAGATTTCCCCCTACATTTTCAAGGAGGGAAAGGATACACACAGGGAAAGTCATCTCTTTGATAACCTTCAGGTCTGGTTCAAAATTTTCAATGGCTTCATTATTCACCCAAGTGTTACGAACAAAGCTTAAACTGTTACTTGGGATATCAAGTTTCTGTTATATCATTTGACTAAAAAGGAAAAGGTAAATTTACCTGCTATTATTTTCTGGTATATCCATTAATCAATCAGGACTTCCATAGATGGTTGCAAGAAGGAAAAGAATTAAATTCCTTTTGGAAGATTAATCACTGATATCCTAATTGAGTGTAAGTTGGTGGACTCGTTGAATCTGCAATGTGAACCTCTTATTATGATTGGTAAATCTTTCAATGGAGAAGACCTACTGGATATGTCTCTGATATCAGAAGTAGTCATCTCTCCCAAAACTCTGGATGAAAATGCAATTGCATGTGGAAGAATCCCTATCGAAAACTTCCCAACTTTCAACTTGGCAGGGTTTCCTAAAATTCATCCTTTCATGGTTAAATCTATGTCTGCCTTCAAGGCTGGTTCTTCTGCTCCTGCTGTCAAGATAGAGAAAAGAAAGCTCCCCAAGAAATTTTTTTATGATGATGCTTTCAAACCTTCAAACAAGTCATCTTCTAAGAAGAAGCCTCAGAAATCTGTCCAAGAAGTCAAAACATCTTCCAGTACTGAAGCTTCTGACAACTCTTTACTCATATTTGCGTTCATGAGTTCACCACCTTCCCTTTTCCCTCAAACAACCATCTCTATAACTCCCCCTGTCTCCATAGTTGGAACAGTCCAAATTGATTCATCTGGTTCAAAATATTTTTTTTCTGATCCTCAACCAACAACCACAAATAAAAAGCCTTCTACTTCTAAACATCCTCCAAAAAATTTCTCCTCACCTTTCCCCATATCTTTTAATCCTCTCATGTATTGGTCCAATACTCACCGCACACCTTTTGATGAACTCAAACAAAAGTTTGAAAGAGCTTCTCAGAACTCTACACTATGTTGTTAAGAATTCTTCTGGTAGTATGGATCCAGACTGGGTCACATACACCTGGTCAGACTTTAGGAAGTGGATGGATGACAATTCCAACATCATCCAAGCCATCTATCATATGGAAGCTATGCAGAAGCGCAAGGCATAGCTTGCTTCTCAGGCACCTCCAACCGCTATTCTCTACTTGCCTGCTCTAGAAGTAAAGATTTCAGAAGAAGGAGTTGTTGCTATGGAAACTCAACCTTCATAAGCTGTTGCCTCTGAGCTAGTTGAGTTTGAAAAGAATGATGTTGAAATTGGTAACTCTCTTGAGTTGGTGAAGACTGCTGCTGTTGAGACTTTGTTGAAACACTTTTGTTAGGGTAAGTATTTTCTTTATCGTTTCCATAGGGGTTGATGTGATATTAACACCGTTTTATAGTTAATAATGTTTTCAGTAAGGATTTATCAAATGTTTTGGTAACAGAAAGGTTTGATTTCATGAAAAGTAGTTAACAATGGTAAAAAGAAATTTTGGTTTTAAAACCCAGGTCAAGAGTTGGACCCTATTTATCAATAATGATCCAAATCAAACATATACCATAAAAACAAGGCTTTTCACCATATATTAATCATCAACTTGTTCACATACAAAATATCAAGAGAAATACATACAAAATGAAGGATTATCTAACTCTAATCTTGACACAAGAAAAGATTTAACTACCCATAACCATGGTAGCTTGATCAACAAGTAAAGAACAAAGACTTAGAAGCATAAACTTGGAAGGATCAAAGATTTAAGCTTGAAATATTTGATTTTGAGTTACAAATGAAGAAAACTTGTCTCTTAACCTAAATACACGTTTTTAGAGTTGTTACCAAGTGTTGGAATTTGAAAAATATCACAAATGGCCACTTATACAAGTGCCCAGAAAGCACGTCCTGCTAAGCGGGATGGCCGCGCTAGCGGGCTACACGGAAAATTTATTTCCAGCTTCAGTGGGTCGTGCTAAGCGGGCTAACCACGCTTAGCGGGCCCAAAAACATGGTTTCTGCCACATGAGAAAAGAGGAAAAGCGTGCTTCAAACCCGCTTAGCGGGCTAGCCTGAAGAAAATTGTAAATTTTGACTTTCTGCCCATCTAGCTTGGTCCATGCTTTCCCAAAGCTCCAATGCTTCTCTCACAATCATCAAATCCTACAAAATAAGCATAAAAACTACTACTAGTTACAAACATAAGTTAATAATTATCTGTTTACACTAATTTACAAGCCTAAACACTACTAATCATTAAAATAGAGTGTAAAGGACCACATAATTATTCACAAATATATCCACCTTAACAACTCTCCCCAACTTAGACTTTTGTTTGCCCCTAAACAAAAATTCTACAACCCAAAGAAAACTAAGACAAGCCACAAAAATGAGGAAACAACAAGTTTTTTTAGCACAAGACAATTTCATGGTTCAAATTAACAAGAACAAACAAGATAATACTTACCACTAACTAAAATAAACCATAAATATGAAACAATAGTTAAGTGAAAAATACATATAAAAAATTTCCAAAACAATACAACTCAAAAATGAAGCACATCTAACACACTCATCAATGGATGAGAAACAACATGAGGGCTTTTTCACTCATCCAACAATCATGCTAACGTCTGGATCTAATCATACATTCATCACACACAAAGCATCAAAAGTGAAAAGCAAGAATCACAAGGTTTTGAAAAGGTTGTAATTTGGCTTAGTTACAAGGAAGGGTAATTTCTAAAGGTAATTAACACTAAATTGCCTAATTGCACGAGAGCATTAAATTCTCACACCCTTACACAATTCAAAATCTTACTCCTCTTATTTTTTTATTTGATGTAACAATACAATCTTGAGCTCTTTTGTCGGCATAACTTATGCCCTTTGATTTTATTTTCTTTTTAAGAGCTCAACTCATCGTTTCTTTTTCTTTTTAATTTTGTTCTCTTTTTTATTCTTCTTTTCTTTCAACCACTTTAATTGTTCTCATCAACAACCTACCTATTTCTCCCCAACTTTGAACACAACCTAATATGATCACAAGAATGCTCCCACACAACTAAGAAAAAGGAAAATAAAAGCAATCACATTAAGGTTGAAGGTTCATAAATTTCACAAACAAAAATCAAGATCCTTTCTCAAAACTCAATGATGAATTTGTTATTCATTTACAATATTTACATAATTCAACCATCACAAAGATCTTGATAGAAAGACTCAATTGGTATTAGAAAGTGATCACTCTCTCTCAAGGTAGATTGATTGATTATTCATTTGGTTCAAGTTGTTTTTCTCAATAAACAAAATCTGCCTTGATCCTTTTCAAACATTCACACACATCAACACACATGCATGATTAAACATCATAGGATCGAGTTAACAAGAATATTGGTTTCCCGCATTTAATGCACAATGGAAAGCTACCTCATACAAGGCTAAGTTCTAAAGTGATTCACATTTTACATGTATTGTAAAATAATTAATGGTATGACATTATGTAAAAACCACAAGTTTCATATTTATGCTAAGTTTAGAAAGCAATAAATATGTACCTTGAAGTTGTTATCACAATTTAATTCATACGATTACCAATAAATTGCAAGTTGAACCACATATTGACAAGTTCACTTGGTTCCTTCAAAGTTATCACACTTAGGAACAAAACATCAAGCTTTTGATTTTTTTCTTTAAAAAAAAAATTAAACGTAAACAACTCTATACACAATTTAAACTTAAACATCATAATGCATTAAAATTAAAAACATGAACACCCCAAAATGGTGTACCAAAATAGTACCCATGGCATGAAATTCCTCCAAAAGTATCAACATCATATCCTTAAGAAGATGGAACCAAAATACAACCAAACAACATAAAACCCAAACTAAATAGTTTTAACATAATACTAAAAAAAAGAATAAATATAATACTAATAAACTAAACCCATCAACATATCAACTGCTCATATCATCTTGACTATTATGAGACTCCTAATCATCATCACTACCAGCATCACCAGTTGCCCCCTTATGAAAAAATGGCCTGCCCTCAGGGTAATTAGCATATGCTGAAAACTCCTCGCGAGTCAGAAAAGACATAACATCCTCAGGTGCAGACTAGTGACGATACAACAGCTGCATAAAATCATGAATAAAAAATGAGACTCTCATATGGGCCTCCATCATCTACCAGTTGTACATGCAAGCTTGTTTCTCATTATATCTACCGAGATCAGTTGGAGGAGCATTTGCCCAAGGTTGTGGTGCTCCCTCACCATCCAACTTCGACACACAATGCTGCAAAACATAGTCATCATTCACTATACTCCTTATTACCTTGGTCACCACTGTAGCAATCTCAACTCACGCTCGCCTACATAATCCTATAATAAGGCCCGAATAAGCTAGATTAGTCGAAACCTTAGAACCAAGCGTATGTCCACTTATGGCAATATTACGAATCTCATTTGAGATGATCTGAGCAACATCCAACCGCTTTTCAGTAAGAATATAATACAATAGGCATGAAGTATCAAGAGGTATGAAAGATGTGTGACTTCTAGGCCTAATGTTGTAAATCACTAGAGTCATCAACAATTGCGCCTTGGTGTGCATGTCACGCCGATTCATTTTAACAAGTTGATCAAAAGGGTTCAGAACAAAAACTTTATTTGGAAGAGCCAAAGCCGCACTTACCAAATCATATTTCCACTTCTTACTTGCTACCCTTTTGGAGTAAGCTCATTTTGGCCTAGTTGAAGGGTAGGAAGGTTTCCCAACTATTGGTTTTTAGTATCCCTAGTGAATTAGATGACTCTCCCCCGTACAAAAGAATAAAAGGTGTAACGGATACCTCCGACAGGTAACACGTTAGCATAAAATTCATGAACCAAATCAAAGTTCAGCTCAGTGGGGGGAGTCAACAAAGTAACCCACCTCCAGTTATCCAAATTCGCCAAAATGTCTATATAGTCACCTTGTGGGTTAAGAGTAAGGATCTTCTCTGGCTAAATTTGTCTCTTAACCAACTCGTCAAATGAGCTTGCTGTAGTGGCCCAATAAAACTTGTGTTATCAAACTGAACCAGCTCTGTAT